GGAGGAGTTTAGAACTTTTTTTTATTGTCTACTTTATACTTTATAAAACTTTAACGAATTTTTGATTAACAAAACGATTTCAAAGCAAGCAATGGTAACACTGTAGGGAATAAAACATTTTTATCTCCAAACGAGAGACTGTCTATCGGAAATTCTAAGGATATGCTGTTTTTAAATATTTTTAGCCCTATGTAATGTTAGCCCAAATACTCTCGGAACCGTGTACGTGTCTGTAAAAAAAAAAAAAAAAAAAAAAAAAAAAAAAAAAAAAAAAAAAACCCTCTCCTTTTGGCCATAATATATAATCTGAAATCGTTAATATATTTTTTTTGGGGGGGAAATTTCAAATTGTTTTTAGCGATGTTTTCCAAAAAGTGTCGGATCGTTACTTTATGCGAAATTTGTGTTCCCATGCCTGATATTTCTCCGTTCGCATTTTCAGTTATTACCACTATGTTAAATAAAGGTGAAACAAATTGATATTTTCTATGCAGTTAACACATAATCGATTTTCAAGGTGTTGCCATTCAGCAAAATGTAATTTTTTATTTTATCTTCCGAATTTTTTAAAAATGTAATTGTTTAGCGAATTGAGCAATTTAAAAGCACAAAACTTATTTCGTAATAACCTAGATATGTATTTTATTTCTAACAATAGATCGAATTGATATAACCTGTAAACTTGTTTGTGCAATAAAGTCCATTTTAATCTCAATACTTTTTCTTTTTTCTTTATTGAAAGAAAAGGCTTTGTTATAACTTTGCATTCTTTCAGATTAGTTGCTATGAATCTCCTTCTCACATTTTTACCGCTAATTGGGTGCCCAAATTTCTCTGATAACTTTGCAGGAAGTTTACGAAAAAATGTTCTTAATTTTCTCATTGATTTTTCAAATAAAAATTTGAGCGTCACATTCCCTTATTCCTTTTTTTTCTCAAGTTCTTTTTATATTCAACTACGAAATGGTTTTCTTAAAATGTTCTAAAAATATTTGTGAGGAACATGATGAATCAGAGTTGCCAGAAAATTTTCAACGAAAGTAGCAAAAGAAGACTAAAAAAGTCGCAAAAATAGCAAATGATAGATCACGGGATTTTTATGACGTCATAGTTGCGCATGCCCACATGACCTCTGACGTCATCACAAATTTACCATGAACCTTATAAAGGAATTTAATTATTTCTTATAAGGTCCATGAAATTTACCGTGTATTGGTTTTCTAAGTTATAGAATGTATTCGATTTTTAGTCTTTTTAATTACGTATCTTAGCTTTATGGAAAAAAAAATTATATATAACTATATTGTTCATTTTCAATTGTTTAAATATCCATTTCTTTTTTAATTAATTCTCTCATTTAATTTAGATTTCTATTTTTAAATTAATTTGCGGATACCCATTCTTAAGAGATTCCTCACGTTTAGACTGTTTAGCGCTTTTGCACCAAATTTTTTGAGTTGGCTGTCAGTTTTTTTAATTCATTGTTGTTTTTTGTTTAACTGTAAACATTTTAATCGAGGAATGCTTTTCAGTGAGTTTTCAGCTCTGTGTGAGGGATCTGTTTCAGATTCTGATTACTTAAGAAAGCCTTGTTCTTTCACCGTTAAATTTATTTGTGCTGTTATTTAGAAAAATACCGTTGCTTTGATTTTTAAGTCATTTCCATTACTTAGTTCTTAGCAATTTTAAAATCAGGAGTATGAATTTCATTTCTTTATCTGTTTGGGTACCCAATATATAGCGGGCAAGTTGTTTCTTTGGTTCGATTGATAATCACTATAGAACTGGGAGGCTTCAAAACGCACGAAGGACGAGGGAGGGTGGTGAGAGGTCCCGAAGCATTTTTTTTCTTTCTTTCCAGAAGCATTTTTCTTAAATACCAGCATCAGGCTGTGCAGTTTTGAAAAGGGAAGCCCACATGTAAATCAGATTGCCAGATGCCAACTTCTATTTAAGCCTAAATCAACTGTTTATATTTTTAATATATAAATTATTTTTAATTGATACATTATTTTAACATAAAAGCATTTTACGGTATATTAAAAAAATATCTGAAGTCGCAATAAGTAACATAAGAAAATGATGGATGTCTCAAATGCTAAAATTTTAATAGCACAAGTTTGGCAAAAGTCGCAGATTTGCAAAACATCGCACGATCTGGCAACACTGTGGTGAACCCTAACGATTTTTGGTAACTAGAGATTTTTGTTTATTTAAAAACAAGATTTGATACTTTTGCCGAACCTTAAGTTCTTCGCATTCTGGTATTTTCTATAAGAATTACTCTGTTTTCAAAATTATCATCTAGCACAACCCAATAATGAAACTTCCACAAAAATTAACTAGCTTGGCAGTTTTAACAAAACTCGTTTTTCAAAGAAAAACGCTAAGACTGAATTAAAAGTTGACTAGTTTGCTTGTTTTTATTTTCTACTAGCAGAAGTACTAAGCCATTTAAGTTAGTTTTGGTTTATTAGATTACGGCAAAGCATTCGAGGGCTATCTGCTTTAAGGGAGGGAGGCCTTCGTGGAGGACTTTTTAAGAGGAACTGGCTCGTATACACGTTACACATGGGAAAACCACGAAAACACCCATGCAGCCAGCCCGTTCGCGGGTTTCGAACCTCGGACCGAAATACCAGTGTTTAGCGATGTTACCTCTCGGCCTCCAGTTAAGTTAAATTAAGAGTAATGCATCTAGCAACAGAGAGAACAATACCGCTGTAATCCTTCTCATATGACGATTCAAAATATACGATTCATAGCCATATATTTTTCAGTTTGATGCGATATGGAACTCGCATAAAAAATTTTCATAGAAAAATAAGCTCTCTTTCATTATATCAGAAAAAATGGCGCGCAGTTTTAAATGATTTTCGTCTTTCTAATCAAATGGTCGTAAAAGCTCGTGATCCACCCAATATTTCACCCATATTCATTAGAAATCAATAACGCGAACAAACAAACAAACGCACAGTCACACAAGCATTCCCTGGCATTCTTCTATATATAGAGAGATTTTGTAAAAATCACAAATTTTTGATTAACAAACTCTACGATTTGAAAGCGAGCAGTAGCAACACTTCTCGAAATAAAGCATTTTAATCTCCAATGCCCTAGATTGTTGCCATTCGGATAAATGAGTGCGAAAATTAGCGCTTTCAGAATTTTCTATTAATATTTCGGCTGATTAAAGTTGTACGAAGATGGAAATAGCCGAAATGTCTTCCTACGAATTTTTGGAATTGGAAATAATGTATTTAATGTTTGGCAATACCATTTTTATTTCATCTTAAAACTTAGAAATGTTTTATTAACAAACTCTAGGATTTGAAAGCGAGCAGTGGCAACAACTTTCGAAATAAAGCAGATTTTCATCTTCAGCTCGTGAGACTATTGCCACTGGGAAAAATGTGGGCGAAAATTATCTTTTTTTTTTTTTTTTTTCCTAGTTTCTAATTTTTAGCTCTGATTTTAGCTACTTTGTTTTGGAAAAAAGTCGACGTCGACTTTTTCCAGGACCCAGAAAAGAATTGTAGAAAGTTTGGTGACTGAGTTATCAGAAGACAAGCAAACAGACTTTTATCTTTATATATATAAATAAATTGTAATTTTACAAAAAGAAATTCATAATTGTATGGGGATAAATACTTTTTCACCTGACTGAAGCAGAGTTTTAAAATTTTTCGTTTTCCCCCAGCTAGCTGACATGGCAGCCATATTAGGCCAGTCAATATTAATAACAGTAAAGCTTTGGTACGCTTTGGCTCAGAAAGTCTGTTGTCTACTACTTCGGAAGAAAACACCGCGAATTTTGTATGCTTCCTCTACGATCAGCTGCTTTATAATCTCTATAAACCTGTCTTTTCCCAAGTTTTCCACGTATAACTTCTAGAATTCCTCACACACAGCCATATGTCAGATTTTGCGGCATGATTGCCTATGTCGTTTAATGCACGGAAATTGGTATTGAAACTGCAGATACGCTTTTAGGAGTTTTTTTTTTTTTTTTTCATTCTGAAGTAAGCAACAAATACAGAACCGAATAATTTATTAGCAATCTGTCGGTCGAATTCAATAGCAAATGAGCATTACGTATTTTAGCAAAATTACTAAATATAAATAAATTTATGTGCATACGCCATTTATATTAATGTATTCAATGCATATTGATTGAACATAAAAAGCGCTGTCAAACACAAATCATAATTTGCAAATAACCTCAATATCGTTTTCAATGGTTCTTGTCTCAAAACTGTAAAATCGATTCAAGAAAAAACCGATTGCAGAAATAGTTTTCTGCTATTCATGAAAAATGCCAACTGTTAAATAAATAAACAAATTTGAAAGTTTTCAGATTTTACATTACGCCAAAACATACAGTGTTGCCATTGCTCGCTTTGAAAGCGTTGAGTTGTTTAAATAAAAAATTCGTTAAAGTGTTACAAAATATGAAATCGATAATAAAACAAATTTCAGATTCCAAATTAGGGCTTCCAGATGCCCATACTCGGTGGAAGATTACGTTATTCAAAATTTGATGGCTCTAGGTACCGTTGTTTATCACAATGTGAGAAAAATGCATACATTTATACAGATTCTTTATTATTTAATTTGTTTAAATATAATACAGGGCGATGATATTTGATGGCAACCATTTGGAAAGTGAACCGACATTTAAAGTTTTCAGCGCAAAATGAAATTAATAGCTCTTCTGGATTAACGCTCTTTGGGCTAATTAAAAAAATAACATGCAAAGTAAATTTAAATATTTAAAGCAATGTATTAAATTTCTTAACTTTGGATAATTAAAATTTTTCAAATTATTTATAAAATGTAATAGTATTATTTCTTGACTATGTTTTCCAAAATGGATGGCTTAAATAGGCTACTGTCAATAATGTAATAACAAAAGGATATTTAATTCTAAATTTTGGCAACAGCATTTTTTTATTACAACTCACAGAATATCTAGTTTTTTAAATAACAAATATGCTTTACTCGTTAACTCTTATTGAATGGAGACATTTTTATTTTGTTTGAGAATGTCTTCGGAAAATGATGAGAAACGTTTGCGAGATCAAAGAGGAACGCAAACCTCACGTAAGCTAACTTCATTAATTAACTTACCTAAATTTTTCGTTCTTGTCACGCATTTTTCTATTTTTTATGCGAATTTTGCAGTTCACTCACATTTCTTTCTTCCTGATGAAAATTATACTGAAATGTTATATAAATAAAAATGAATAACTTAAGATAATAAAAGAATTTTTTTATTTTTATTTAAGATCTAAATAAGGTAAAAGTTTACAATTGGGTGCCCTTTGTTTATTTTGAAGCCAAGATCAGCGCCAGGAAGACACAATTTCAAGATGGCCGCTACATAAAACCAAAATAAGAAGTTGCACAAACTCGGCGTCCATGTGCACATCGATCTTTTTTTACTTTAAAAAAAATTTTGATGTGTACACCACATGACTTCATTGTGCGGAATATTAAATTATATACAGTTTTTCTTGCATTTCATTTAAACTTATTGGATTGAATTAAATCTACTTATTCGATAGCGCATAAACCACAATAAAATGAAAATAAGAATAAATGCACTCTTTAAAATTCACTATATTTGTTTACTATAGCGATACTCTGGCGCTAGGTTCACTTAACAGCGTTATATTTTGTTCATATTATAACTATGTCTATGTCTATGTCTATCTCTTATCACTTAGTAAGAGGCAATCGACCATTAACGGCTTTTATCAATATATGATACTTGACTTTTAAATGCTTGAAGAATCGAGTAAGTTGTATCCAATAATATGGAAGTACTTGTACACATGCTGTGCTAGAGCTCAGAGATTACTAGCGACGGAGGCTGCTGTGCCGCCGTCCGTAGTATAAGTAAACTTTGAACAAATGAGGTGCTCGTGTGGCGCCATCTATTAGTAGTGATCAAAAGTATTTTAGTTGACTGGAGCTCTGGTTGCGCCATCTCTTGCAGGATGTATTGTAAGGCATTTTTAAAAGTTCATAAAAATTATTCTTTTGATAAGCAATAATTGGCAAGTAAAATGATGAAAAACACAACTTGCAGTACATTGAAACGTTTCACAAAGAGTAAAAACTATTTACACAAAAGTCTACCTGCTTTGGCAGGAACAAATCATATTATAACTTAGAATGTACAAAATTTATATTATTTGTGCCACATGTTCTATTCAAATACTACAATAAATCTAGAACGATGTATAAAAGAAATTAAGCAAAGAAAACTAAAAAAGGAAACAGTTTTTCACAGACGATTCAGTATTTCTCATTCAATTAATTCAGTTCTGAATTCGCGAAAAGGCTCAAAATATCTATAATGAAAATTACGAAGTAAATCTTAATCGCTTATTTCCTCGAAAAAATTACAGAAAGGATTAAGCATGATTTAATTCGTAATAATAAATGAAGGCGTTATCTTTGTTGTTGCGAAGCTTAGTCTCTTTAGATGGCAACAAATCTACTATTCTGCTGTTTCAAATGTAAACAAATATTTCCTCCATGTTATTTAAAAATTAGGCTTAACCGCACTTAAACAGCTTTTAAATTGTTGATAATTCTACAAATATTGCTTGCATATTTCGTAAAGGCATAAAAACCTTAACCGGAAAATAAGAACAACATAATTAAGTCATTTTTTAAGCAAAGAATGCACAATTTACAAACATATAAGAGTAAAGAAACGGAGATCACTGGGCCGGGTAACAGAGTGGATATATATATATATTTACAGTGGTGGCCAAAATTGTGGACACTTTTGGAAATTTTTATGCTTTTGAACTTTGTATGCTTATAGAAAATGTTACGTTTCGCAAAATGCAAATTTGTATATATCATTTTAAAGAGAATTTATTACTGAATTCAATACAAAACACAAAATTCAATTATTTGCAATACAAAAAAAAAAAAAAAAAAAAAAAAAAAAGTTATATGTACTTTAATATAAATAAAAAACACAGTTATGAAGTGGTTTGTAATGTCTAGCTTTCATGGCCGATCACTGTTCTTGTTCAAAGAACCAACCAAATGTTAGTAACTGCCAGTAGAAGCTGACATCATGTTTACACTTGAAACAATTCATTATTTTGCTTTGTTCTGTAGAAGGAGGACCTGTTTCTTATACACTTCAATTACAAGTAGGAATTTTGTGTAAAAATTTTTAATATTTAGTCAAGAAGCAATGACATCAAATAAAAGAGTAGATTGGACACCTAGAAAGAGATGTAATATTATTGTGTTACGAGAAAGTGGTCTTTCCTTTGCTGAAATTGCAAGACAGGTGGGTGGTTCAGTGACTACATCTGGAGTCCGAAAGTCTTGTTTACGATATCAGGAGACAAATTCAATAAAAAAACAAAGCAGAAAAAGGCCGAAAAAGGTGCACCATATCTATTGATGACAGGAGAATAAAAAGAGTATGTCTCCAAGATAGAAAAATGTCATCAACGGCCATCAGAAGTGATCTGAATGATGCTGGTGTTTCTGTCATTTCAAGAACAATCAGGAGAAGATTAACAGATGTTGGACTGAGAGGTAGAATTCCACGAAAAAAGCCTTATCTTAATTTTCAGCAACGAAAAAAAAAAAAAAAAAAAAAGACTACAGTGGGCAAAGGAACACATTAATTGGACAGATGATCAGTGGTCACAAGGTATATGGAGTGATGAAAACTAAGATATCGTTATTCAGTAGTGATGGACGAAATATGTAAGGTAGATAGAATAGGAGAAGAGCTACATCCTGACTGCATTCAAGCAACTGAGAAGAACCCAGTTAGTGTTATGATTTGGTCATGCATGTCAGCAGATGGTATTGATCGCCTTCATGTCATCGATGGGACACTGAATGCCAGAAAATACATTGACACTATTCTAGAACCAAAACTTCTACCTTCCATCAGATCTCTTTCCCAAAAATGCTTCGTTTATTTTTCAGCAGGATTCTGCTCCTTGCCACACGGCCAAAATATCGAAAGAGTGGTTTCGCACAAAGACCATTAAATTGTTGTCATGGCCAGGAAACAGTCCTGACCTCAATCCTATCGAAAATTTGTGGCACCGTTTGAAAACTCTTGCCCGAATGAAGCACCCATCAAATAAAAGGGAACTAATTGAGGATATAATTGTTTCCTGGCATCGTGTAATAACGAAAGAAAAAGCTTAAAACTCTTGTCAGCTCAATGAAACGTCGATGTGAAGCTGTAATCAAAAATAAAGGGTACCCTACTAAGTACTGATAACTCACTGCAATCATCACTATCTAATGTATATCGATAACTATTATCGTTTAACGTTTTTTATATTGCAAATAATTGAATTTTGTATTTTGTATTGAATTCAGTAATAAATTCTCCTTAAAATGATATATACAATTTCGCATTTTGTGAAACGTAACATTTTCTATAAGCATACAAAGTTCAAAAACATAAAAATTTCCAAAAGTGTCCACAAGTTTGGCCACCACCTGTATATGCGTTTGGTATGGCCGATTGCAACCAAAATACGACGTGTACATGTAACATGTTAATAGCAGTCCCCCTATATACAAAATTTCAACTTTCTGAGGGTACTCGTTTTTGAGTTATGCGAGATACGTACGTACGTACGTACGGACACCAGGAAAAATTCTCTTCAGAATTCATTTTAAAGCAGTTTTATAATTTTTTTGGAGGAAAAATAGGCTTTTATTCCTTACGTACAGATGTCATGCATTAACATCGTTAAATTGCATTCGATAGCGGTAAAAATGGATATTTTCGTTGAAATATGCTGCCTGGAATTTTTCGCGATTACAATACTTTTTTTTTACTTCGTACAAGGAAGTAATAACCTATACCTATATATAAACTATTCTGAATAACCTATACTGGTGCTACTTTGGTAGACGGTTGCATAAATTTTGGCGATTTTTTTTGGCGAGCGATACGACTTATGGTAAACCCATTGCTGGAGAAGTTATTTATGATAACCGATACTTTGTTGTCATTTTATTTTTAAAATAATGAGTTTTATTATACATAAATTCTGTGTTTTAAATATTATTTATGACTTCTGAATAATAAAAATGAATTAATTTGTTTTTATTTGAAATAAAAATTTATTGTTTATGGTATTTTATGGAATTTTATGTTGGGAATGATGTAAGAATGACGTCACATTATTTTAAAATTAATTGGTTTTAATATCTATAAATTCAATGTAATGTTTTAAGCATTTATTTATGGCATTGTTAGATATAAAATACAATTTAATTTTGCATTTTTAAATATGATTTTTGAATGATTATTTAAATAATTTTAGTTCTATGCGTGATGTAATCAGCTCCCTGGTTGGCTGATTGGTGACTGAATATTTGTGCATTACCGCACCATTTTAAAATTTCATTATTCCTCTCTTCGAATTCCTCATATTTCAAAGCGAATGGATGTGTCCGTTTCGAAGATAAATGTTGTTATTGGTAATTACCAAGAATTATTGGTATCGGAATAAAAAAAATTGCCGTTTGAGACCTTATTTTGGCCAACCAGGCCTTCCTAATCAAAGATTTATTTATTGTTACAAGGGTCAGAGGAAATTTATTTTAAATTTTTGGAGGAAACTTCGCTAATTGCTTCTTCAATGAAGTGCGAGAGGTGTGGATCACAGATGAAGATCTTTTTTTTTTCTGATACTTATCAATATACGACAAATAAAATACTTAAATGTAAGTACATATTTTTCTTTTACTTTATAATTGTATACTTCAATTTTTATTAAAAAATTAATATACTGTTTTCAAAAATTTCTGAGGTATTATTATTGGCACATATGTTTTAATGTTAATTATATTCTATATAACGTATTTTAAAGTATTTGAATTTAGTAATAAACGTTGGTATGATGTTTTTAATTCAGTACTCAATTTAAGTTATATTTTATTCCAATTAAATGTTGGCGCAATATTTTTATAGCGGTATGTTTATTCTATTATATGAAAGTAATAATTTAACCTTACTTTAGCATTTTATACTCTTAGTAAATGTACTTATTTACATTTACCAGCCATCTTAAAAAACAACA